CTGCCACTTTCTATATGAAGTTCTATAGGCAGAGTGAAATAAAATCATATAACCCAAAAACTAAAGACATTTTTTCAGAATAAAGTAACTTGTTTTCTTGAATGCATGCATAATTACTGGTCTAAAGCCAACAGAAGAGAGACTACTCTGTATACAGAGAGGACTAAAATCATTTCGTATAATATTTCCACTTAAAAGACTTTTATTATATGTTAATAAGCCTAAAGTCATTTTAATTGTAATGCTAATTTAATAATTAAGGTATCTGTGTATGATTTAATGTGTAAATCTATTCAAATAAAAATGGTTGAATACAAGTTGAGATAATCTTGTAAAAATGTATGTAATAGTGCCCTTCTGTGAATTAACCTGGAGTAAAGCCTTATTTTCAGTTGCCTGTCATTTGTTAAACTTGAATTTGTTTTTCTTCATTGAAAACATATTTTAGCCAATGGATAAATGTGAGTATCTATAGGCCTCTTTCATTTGGGAAGTATAAAATGATTATAAAGTAGCCAGATGGTCTCTTTTTAATGAGCAATTCTACCTCGAGAGAGACTGTGACCCAGAGAGGGTGATAAACTGGACAACCTGCCTTCGAGATGAATGTTGCAGACCTCATCCTCCGCAGTCACATCTTGTTCTCCCATCCAAGTACTAACCAGGACCAACCCTGCTCAGCTTCCGAGATCAGACGAGATCGGGCGCGTTCAGGGTGGTATGGCTGTAGACGGTCACGTCTTGTTGATGGTTCTTTGGTGGGTGAAATGGAGACTCTCTGGCTTCCAGTTTTTCTTTTTTGTACCTGAAAGCAGATTATAATTGTTCCCAACACTTAAATCCAGTAGTACACCTTTGTAATATATTGGAACATTTAATGTGCTCATATAATTATGGTTTTTCTAGAAGCTGAAAACCAAATCTATTATACTAGACTTACTTGTTTTGCTCCAACTGGTTCTACCAAACTCACTCTTGAAAATGGAATTTTGGCTTGCCAAGTTTGCTGTAATATTAACCTTAATGGAGTAAGAAAGTGTGCTGTAGTAACCCTTCTTAACAGAGGAGAAGAATGCATTCTATGGAAAAAGCACCCAGTTAAGTCCCTTTACAATATGTGGGAAGGGAAGAAAGATGTGAAAGGAGACAAGGAGTGATTTCATCATGTTCTTATGAACAGAGGCTCTTTTGGGACATGTCTTTCTCTTGTTGTTGGTGGGGTTTTTTTTTCTTTGTAAATCTTTCCCTTTTTCTTTTTAATCTGATCAATAATAAGACCATAACTAATTTCCCCAGGTTAGATCTAACACTGCTTAAGACTGTTTTTTCCAGCTCTTATGCAATGTCAAGAACAAAGACAGGAACCCTAAGTTAAAATTATCCTATGGAAATCTTCTAGGACTTGTCAGAACACTTATTTCAAATTAACTCAAAAACAAAGAATTTTTAGTCTTACACAACTGAACGTTCCAGGGGTAGTGTCAGGCATTCCAGGATTCAGGGCTTAAAAATATTTGACCAGATGTGTGTTCAGGTTTTGATTTATTTGATTAGGCTAGGTTTGCCCTTGGGCTGCCCTCGGTTCACACAGAGGCTCTGCACTCCCCCTTTCTGGTGGCAAGATGGGTGCAAGACCCCTACCATCACATGTACTAGTGCTCCAGTTTCAGGGTGCTCCGTTCTGATCATGCGCCCACCTGGCTACATTAAGCAGTGTTTCCAGGGTTTTCTTCACTGGTCAGTACTGGTCACAAGAGAAATACTCACAAGATCAGCAAATCCTTTCTGTTCTTGGAAAGTAGATGGAGGTCAAGCTTTGTTGCAGCTGCAGGCTGCAACTTCCAGCTTGTTGGATGGGGCAACCCAGTGATCCGGCGCTAGTTTCCCTGGAATCCTGCCTGTCTCATTCCAATCCTGGCCAGGCGTGAGTGCAGCTTTTTCTACAGTGAGCTCCTTGCTCTGAAGCTACTCACAGCCATGGGGCTGGATTGGGGAGGGAAAACCAGGGGTGCACTGTCTAACAAATGCAGGATTCAGCTTTCTCTGATTTCCAAAAGTTCTGGTCTACTTTTTTCTTTCCTTCAGATTGAGCACCATAGACAGACAAAAAAAATCCATACCTGAGGCCAACTAACATTCATGAGAGGGGCAGGGTTGGGTCATATCTATGTATTATACTCTCACTGCTCCTGGTCATGCTTCCCTGATGCAACCCAGACTAAAAGGGAAATTACTTTCAATAGCCCCAGGAGTAGAATCACTCTGATTGGCCAGTTTAGGTTTAGAGTCTGGCCCTTTACCATTCCCTAACAGTTATCATCAGTGGCCCTTTTACTGGTGCAGAATCCAAGTCACCTGCTACTACCCCAGCATCTAGTACATATGATCAGGTCCCAGAGTTCAGAGGCCACTGGTTACCGAATGAAATTGGAGTCTGTTCCTGGAAGAGGACAGACTGTGTGGTGAGAAGTCTCACAGCAGTTTTCCACTAAAAATGTATAGAGATTAACCTTAGAATCATTTCCTGGACAAGAAAACCTTTTTCTTTACTGTCAAGTGTAATTCAGGGTGCTTTTCAGGAGCCTGGGCAATGGGCCTGCTTCTATAAACTTCTGCACTAAATCAAATGCTAAATAAATGGAACTTCGCAGGCAATGCCATATCTGTCCTCTGCATACCAATTCATAAATTGCCTCTGACATGAGAGAACCATTTAAAATTGCCTGGAAGCTACAGGTGCACCCTGGCCCCAGAGGACCAGGGAAAGATCTCCTATTGCTTTGCTAACTAAAGCAGGACTTGCTGCTAGAACAAAACTGATGGGGAGAAGAGACAGGAGGATTTCCCAGAATGCCTGATTCAGGAAATGGAGCAGGTAGGACGTGGGGTCATGACTTAGATGTGAAAATATCTTTCAAAGTTTTTTGAATGAAAAAATAGGAGAGCAGATTTCAGGTTGGTTGTATTTCTATCTTTCTCAACCACCTGTCTTTTCATTGGAGACCTTTATTTTTTTGAATAAATAATAAACCTGAATGTTGCCAAAAGAGAAAGTAGAAGAGAAGTATCAAAGTGAACCAATGGTTTTAAAACATCATAAAGAATTAGACAAAATAATAGGAGTAGGACAGAAAAAGTCACTCATTTTTTTCTAATATATAATAACTTTGTAAAGGTATCATTTACTTATCATGTAATTCACTTTTCCATTTGAGGAGCTCATAATCATTTTTTAAAATATACATCCCATTTAATGTGTATTTGTAGTCATAATTTACTCTGTATGGAGAACAGTTCTCCAGAAGGGAACATTATACTATTTTTCAAGACTGAGTGGTTTATGAAATAATAGATTAATAATCAAAGTTATTGGTGAGAGAAAGGGTAAAGAATGCTTGATATTATTTCTAAAGCTATTTTCAAGAGATATTACTGATAGTTTGGAAAGAAAAAGTATCTATAATCCTCTTTTCACATCTTGAAGAACTTTGTATTGGTTTCCACTTTATTACTTAGAAGTTACTGTGTGTTAGAGCTGCAGACCACTCCAAGTAATGCATCCCTGGGTTCCTACTTAGAGCAACTTTAAAAAACCTATCTTTAACGAGAGATCTACTTTCACCAGTTAATCAGTTCTGTGTTTATTTATTAGACCATCGCATTAGTTTGCTAATGCTGTCATAACAAAGTTCTACAGATTGGGTGGCTTAGTCAGCAGAAATTCATTTTCGCAGAGCTCTGGAAGCTAGAAACAAGATCAAAGTTTTGGCAGATTTTGCTCCATCTGAGCACTGTAAGAACAACATTTGTCCCTGGCCTTTCTCCTTTACCTATAGATGTCTGTCTTCCACATTTGTCTTTACATGGCATTCTCTCCATGCGTGCCACATGTCCTTAATCTCTCTAATGGACTCTAGTCATTGGATAGTGATCTCATTTTATCTCAGTTTCCTAGTGAAAGTAATTTCCTCTGGAAAGCCCCTCTAAATTCATTCATATTTATAGTTACTGAACATTAATACTTCAACATAGAAATTTGGGGCAGGTGGCCCAATTCAACTTGTACCAAAAATTATTTGGTAAATTTGTATTTTTGTAGCTACTAAAATCAATTAATCAACTATTTCAACTGCTTAGGTCAAATGTTTCTTCTCCTTCTTTCTTTCTTTTTTTCTTTAAGTACAAGGATTGAGCTAGGGCTTTTATACTGAGCTAGGTCCCCAGGCTCCCATTTCTTTGGCTAGGCTGCTGGGACCTGTTCTGCCTTAGCCTCCCAGAGTGCTGGATTTAAGGATGTGTGCCACTATGCTGGCCTGGCTAAATACTTTTTAAACAACCTTGAATTACATTTTCTAAAATTTTGCCTTTCCTCTCTCTTCTATCAAAAAATCCTACATACCTTAGAAATGTGGGGCACTCCAGAACCAGGGGTGTTCCAAATTACAAAGAATTGGCCAAGCCAGATAGCTACAGCTGTGCCAGTAGAGCATCCTTTAACAGTAAGCATGACACACAAGCTTTGCTTATTAAAATTAGTGACAAACAATGTTGGTGTAGATAATACACAGTTGTAGGTAGTGTTCCATGGCTTTTCTTTTCTTTGCTCCTCTTTCTACCTGAGGGCTGTAGAGGAAGAGCAATCTTTTGACAGGCAGGGAACTACAAAGGCCCAGTCTAACAGACTGAATGTCATGGTTGATAGCTACAGTGTGAATCTGGAACCCTTTGACTTTACTTTTTAATTGATGAACATTGAAGTACCCAGGAAGTAAATGTCCCTGTTGAACAAAGCAAAACAACAGAAGTCTCAGATCACCCTTAAAACAACCTGAACAAAGTACCTGAGAGATTAGTCATGGAGAATGTGGAGGATGGGGGTGAAAGTCCTGAGAAA